GAGAGAGAGAGAGAGAGAGAGAGAGAGAGAGAGAGAGAGAGAGAGAGAGAGAGAGAGAGAGAGAGAGAGAGAGAGAGATGAGCACATCACTTGCCGTCGCGTGCCGTAGCGTGCCGTCACGTGCCGTCGTGTGCCGTAGCATGTCGTCGTGTGCCGTAGCATGTCGTCGCGATTGAGAAGCCCGCCCCTTCGAAGGGCGATTTCAGGGCTGGATGCGGGCGCGCGTTCAGAAAGGCCGTTTGGGCGGGCCGAACCGGTATCGCACAGCCCAGATTGCGGGCCGGTCACCACCTGCGGACGGCCCAGATCGCAGGCCAATGAGAAAAGTTTCTCATTGGCCTGCGATCTGGGCCGTCCTCGGGTGGTGACCGGGCCGCAACCTGGGCCGGTAGATTTGACGTTAGCGATTCTTATAGTATTGTAGATTAGCTGCCCTCTCTTGTTCCTCTGTCACTGCCCCCTGCCTCTTGTACGATCGCTCATCATCCGCCCGATCGTCCGTCTTCCCACGCCGCTCGTCTCCAACTCGCTCCTGGCCCATCCATCCTCGCCCGCTCTCTACACTTCCCCCGGATTTCCCCCATTCTTTGGGTGTGAGCCCTCCGGCTCACACCCACCCGATCGATTCCTTCCTCCCCTCCCTCTCCGATCTCCACTACAAGGACAATCTCTGAGTGCACGGCCTATTGATCATTTAGCACTCCAGGACTTGAAGCTACCGGTGCCAGTAAAGTTATGGCAGGGATAGTTGGCACCTGTGCTTTTTCATCTATTAGCTCAAAGAGAAGTTTCCACTGGTGCTCCTTTCTTTAATGGTACTATATAATACCTATTTTTATTTGTTTACTACTTGTTTTAGTTTATATACATTACAGAAGTGCTCAGCAAGCACACAGCAATCACAGTGTGTTTTTGTGTGTTTTAAAAGTTTTATTTATTATTCATGTAATTTTCATCAAGTTAATTGCAGATTTGTCATATCTAGAGTCTTTCTGCTGTGCTCTTTGTTTTTCTCTCTTTTTCAGTTTCTTTTTGTTCAAACCTTCTGCACCAAGAATTCATCAAGTGTTAATTTGTTCACTCCAATATGCGTCCACACACATGATTTTTTTCCTATGCTCTGAATGACCAACTGAAGAGATTCAACCAAGCGCACCTCGTCATCCAATCAGTGCCATGTTTCATTGGCTAACAGGATTCCCACTGTCCATTCCTGATCAAGAATCCCGCCTGTGTCCTCGCGTGCACGACTACAGGGATTCCCACCGTCCATGGCTGGCAATCATCATTGCCGCCATCATCATCACAGCCGTCATCAAGTTGCATCAAGATCCTCATCATTATCATTGCCCTCATCAAGTGTGCACATCATCATCCGTGCAACCTCAGGCAATCTCGATCATTCCACTGGGGGAACGGCCGGGAAGACCCTTCAGGGATGTGATCAAGACTTCCTTGAAGGACACTCTTTGCTCCCGCCACCTGGGAGCCCAGTATCAACACACTCTCCCTTTCCTCACTAATTTTCCCCCTCTCCTTTGCCATCCCACATCAAAATCCCATCTTCCCTCTTCACCGTCTTCTCTCCTCTATTCCACCTTCCCTCCTCTCCCCTTCCCCTTGATTGGAAGCCCCTTACAAAATTTCTGACGTGGGTGGAGCACAGTGTTTTCCTTACCGCTCAATCAAGAATGCCATTTGGCCGGGATACTCGAAATTAAATACATTAAATCCATTTCGACAGGAGAAATCTTCATTTGTTCTCTTCCATCGCACCGGATGACATTGATTTCGGTGCCCCGTCAAAAAAGTTACATGGAACTCATTATCGAATCTGTTTTGCAAAAGTTAGTCAAATAATTTTTTTAATTCTTCTCAATTCAATCTTTTCAATTCCAAATAATTCCTGGCTTGTTTCATCGCACTTCTCCAAAATTCTGAATTTACTTCGGGTTTTTCGGACTTTTTCCCCTTAAATTACCTTCGAATTTGCTTTAATCCCGAAATACGTTAGGAAATATTGATGGTAACGGCCGGACGTCTGGACTGGCATCCAGCCATAACTGGGAGGAGCATTGCATGAGTAAATGTTCCATTCCATTGACGTGCCGGTGGAAATGAAACTGGACTGATGCTCCCCAGAATGGACATGGAAGTTGATGGAACAAGAACCAAAAAAAAAAAAAAAAAAAAAAAAAAAAAAACGTGGGGAGGATACACGATCGGAAAATAGAGAGAAAGTTCAGAGAAAGAAGAAGGCAGGTACCAAATAGCTCACTAGACACTCGGGATATTAGCACAAGGAAAGAGGGGATGTAAGCAGAAATAGAAGGCAGACGGAACATGCAACTCCAGCCCTAGAGAGAGCTCGACCCCACTATACCCAGATGCACCATTTCACGCAAACCGAAACAAACAAATTAGGAAAAAAGGGAACACAGTTCTTCAAAATTTAGCTTATGACACAAACAATGGGAAAATAGCTCTTGCATATCACACCAATAGCTGACAGTCATTTATACAAGCAGAGAGGAGCTACACTCCAGGTTTTTACAAAGAACGCGAAACAAACAGCAAGTCAAGGGAGGCTGATCCAACTTTCCAGTTGTAGAAAGGCAGGAACAGCAGAATCAGGAGTAGACCAGTGATCAATCAGACTCAATCACGATTTGATGAGCAGGTTTTTATCGTCCCCCACCCTTCATCGTCCCCCACCCTTCATCGTCCCCCACCCTTCATCGAGTAGCAGCAGAGGCTATGGCCAACACTCTCCCACACACCACACACAACCCACTCGCGCTCACACTCACACCCGTGTTGGTCATAGACCCCGCTAATACCGATCAGGGGTATCCAGAGGACTATCACAGTCCGTTGGCACTAAGTGCGCCGCAGGTGGCCATGGGGCTTGAACCCACAACCTCCTGAATGCCACTTGCATGCCTAACCAACTGAGCTAGGCCGCTGGATAAAGGTAATGAATTATTAATAATTAAAAAATTGAGGTTGTCTAATAAATTATTATAGAGAGAGAGCATGTCCGGACCCCCCAAAAAAGCATAAACGGGCCTGAAAACCCCCCAAAACAATTTTGGGGGCTTGGCTCCAATGGGGAAGGGTCCTGGACCGTTTTTTTCTTTTTTTTTTTCCCTCGAAATTTGGCAGATCCGGACCTTCCAGACCGGACGTCTGGAGTCTGGACTGAATCCAGACCGTCTGGACAGCGATCCGGACGTCTGGATTGTAGCCATGCTAAGGACTAAGTAGAAAGCACAAATGTCATCTGGCAGTTAATCCTAAGCAAACAGTGCTGCCAATATCTTTCAGTACTGGCAGCCACAGTTATTGTGAAACAGGGATGGACCAGTGGTAAGTCCTCCCAATCGGGTAGCAATCAATGCTGCTGTCTCAGTATCTCTCGACCATAACGGGGAGATGCATTGAGTGAGTACATCTGATGTAAGAGACGTTGGACCCAGTTTCCTGCTAGACTAAAATCCGCTTCTTGTGTTCAAAAAAAAAAAAAAAAAAAAAGTTTGTTTATGAACGAAAAATACATGAATGACATCTCCACTGCAGAATTGTCGCGTTAGTGGTACCAAATACTGTCAACACTTCTCTCCAGATAAGTCTGTCCACCAAATGGAAGTAAATGCAGCTGTGGGCAATGCACACGCGATTGTTAATTCCTAGGTGAAGCATGGTGGCCGTTCCTTTTACAATGCTTTCCCAATCACTAATTATGGACCCTTACACTTAGCATGAGCGGCAGACTTGGCAAATACTAAGTCAGGACACAACCATAATTACAAGTTTATCAACCCACTTCCCACGCCACAATCCTCCTTCCATCTCCACTTGCCATCGGCTTCCTGCTCCAGCCATCTCAACTATCTATCAGCTCCCTCCGCTGTTAGAGAGCAGCACAAATTGTCTGTTGGCTCAATGGTACACCTATGAGCTGTTGATGAACAGATTTAATTCGAATGCTGATGTACTCAGTCGAGTAAAATTATGACTCCGAATTACCTGGGCCAGATCAGTTTGATGATGATATCTCAAGTCCGTCACCCTTTCAAAGAAAAAAAAAAAAGGGGGAGGTTGTGGGGGGGGGGGGGGGGGGGGGGGGGGGGGCAGTTTGTAAAATTCCAACAGCAAATTTGTACTACTCTCACAGAGATGACCATCACTTGCACTGGATCCAATGCAGAGTGGGATAGGCCAATGATACGCATACGCACCTGAAGAGGCCGAGGCCGAGCTGTATCAATCCGGTTAAGAATGTTACCAGGAATGCAAAATAGACATACTGAGGGTTCGGATCAAAACTCCCCAGCTTATCCGACGCTTTGTCAGTAGCAATTCCCTTTCTGTCCAAGTAAGGCTTAAACTCTTTATTTAGAAGTTCACCCAGCAGCAGCGACACAACGGCCACTGGTCCAATTGCCAATTGCCGAGAGCTTCCGAACACTGAGTACACATATGGAGGCAGAAGGCTGGAGTCTGCATCATCACAATCCAACAGCGCAGTGTGATTCCCCCAATCAATCACCAAGTCGTCATTTTACCAAACCTACCACAGTGCCACACCCACCACACACCCTGCAGAATGGAACCAGTTATTAGTACTTAGGAGTTATTGCAAGGAAAATGAGGGATACCGAAATGACAGAATTCCAGAATGCAAAATCACATTGAAAGCAAGAAAGTCGAACGTTGTCCAGAAAGCGGATGTGCACTGATATTCCACCAACGGAGAACGTAAGTACCGAATCCAAATGTCAATGAGAGCATACTCTCGCCACCACCAACGTATGTATCCAGAGCCCTTCCTCCTACTTGGCGCTCAGCGCCAGACTACTATCACACAGCTACAACTCAGCCTACGAATTGACAATGCAACCTGTTGACGTCAGCAGCAAGAACCAAAGTACATGATGATGTCGACCCTGGAGACCATCACCAAGACCAGGTACGTGCCTTCACATCATCATCCTCA